TTTGAGGCGCGCTTCTTGATTTCGGTGTTATTTTATACGTTCCGAGGCTTCGAGTAAGTCCGCAATATGTTTATGCACTTGTTGGCGCATTTGGACGGGGTCTCGAGTGGCTCGAGTGTGTTTCGGACCACCCGAAGCGTGTTTGAACTTGGCTGAAAACTGTTGGTGTGCTAGTGTGCTTCGCGATTGCGAAGATAGTCCCGCGATCGCGAAGAAGGGATTTTGGAGGAGCAGCTAATTTCTCTTCGCGTATGCGAAGACGGGATTTTGGAGGGGCAGTTGATTTCCCTTCGCGTACGCAAATAAGGGTCCGCGAACGCGAAGGAGGACCTAGTAGTGCTTCGCGAACGTGGAGGCCCAACCGTGATCGCAAAGAAGAAAAATGGCGAAGCTGGGCAGGAAGGCTTTGGCCTTCGCAAACTCGACCTTGGGATCGCGAACGCGGAAGGCTGGGAAGTGATTCATCTCTAATGCTTGGGGTGGACATCGATCGGTTCGGTTCGATTGTGAATAGTATCGGTTCGGCATATCGGCTATCGATTTATAAATATGCTAAACCGATAACCGAACCAATAAGATATCGGTTATCGTGTATTGGTTAGTCGGTTAAATCGATAAGAATCAAAACGTCCAAAACTTTCATATTTTTAAAGAGTTCTTTATCAACCGCCATCTATTTTAGAGATCCCTACGGAAATCTTTTTCAAATACAAAAATTCTTTATCATAAAAATTGTGATCATATTATTAAGAGAAAGGAACTGAATTTTTGTTCTTAAGAAAGAATTAAACTTTGAAATTTAGAAATGAAAATTTTCTTTGCATTTAAAAATCCCAGTAAATGATCTCAATTTTCAAAATTATAAGTTAATAGGAGTAAGGAATAAGGCATTCAACAATCTAATCTTTATTTCACTACGGATGAACATAATTCATAGAAAAATAATAAAATTCTAATCTTGTAAATGCTAAAGGATAAGTGCAAAAAAGAAACAAATAGAAAAAACTAAAAGTCTATATAATTAATTCTTTAAAGTTTAAAACTAAAAATCTTAGAGCTAAGATGAGAAATTCAAAAAAGGTTAAAACTTACTCGGAGGATTAAGGTTTGAAGTTGAAGAATAACTGCTGGAGAATTGAGAGAATGAGAGAATGAAGCTGTAAGGTGGCTTTATATATTTAGCGGGTAAAATTATAATTTTGATAAAGCTTATTGGGTTATCGGTTAAATCGTTAATAAAATTGGGCAAAACGAGACCCCAACCGATAACTCAATAGTCAAATAATATTAAATTATTACCGAGCTATTTATCCAATAATCCGATATCAATAACCTAATAGCATTTTATCGGTTCGGACTATCGGTTATACCCGATATGAAGTAGATTTTGGGCAGTGGTAGAATTTGGCCTTCGCGATCGCGAGGTATTTTTCGCGAACGCGAAGAAGGAATCAATGGGCAGACTTGAATTTATTATGGGACTTAGTCCCTTTTCTCTCATTTTTCACTTGGTCTTGGATGAATTTTGAGAGCATTTTGTGGAGGATTTTTATCAACATCACGAGGTAAGTGTTCCCTATCATATTCTTGATTTAAAATACACGATTATGGGTAGATTTAATACACAATTAGGGGGAAATTTGTGGGATTTTTGTTGGAACCTAGGGTTGGTAAAAATGGGATTTGACCACGAAGTTGATTATGGAATTTGGGAATAAATTACATATTTGAGTTAGTGAGGTCATGGGTAACATTTATCTTCAGAAATTTTCAGAATCCGGGCACGTGGGCCTGGGGTGATTTTTATGGACTTTCTGGATTTGGTTGAAAAATTAGTTTAATAGTTAAATTATGAACTTTTGAGCATATGTTGATTATTTTACATGACTTTTGATTAGTTTCTGGTTGATCGACATCGTTTGAGGAGTTCTAGTGAGGTTGAAGAGCCGGATTGAGGACTTGGAAACGAGGTAAGTCTCTTGCCTAACCTTGTAAGATGGAATTTATCCCCTTGGGTGTGTTAATTTTTGTGTGCTACTTCTTGTCGAGAGCTACGTACGCACGAGGTGACGAGAGTCTGTACGTAGCTATATTCATGTTATGTCCAGGTAGACTTAGATTCACATCATGCCTTAATTGTGCTGTTTATATTTATCCCGTGTATTAATTTTCTTAATTATGACTGATATTGAAGATTAAAATAAAAATAATGATTTAGCCTCTTACTTCAGAAAATTGGAAAATATTTGATGAACTATGGATCTAAGTCCTCTCGACTCGCATGTACTTCCGCGAGCGAGTAATTTCTCTACTCTTATGGAATCGGGCCGTTCACCTCGGCAGTGTTGTAAATTACTCTTATAGGATCGAGGCATTCGCCTCGCGGTATGGTAATACTATTCTTATGGAATCGGGTCGTTCGCCTCGGCAATACTGAGTATCACTATTCCTATAGGATCGGGCCGTTGGCCTCGGCATATTCGTGCTTAATACTTGAGATTGGAATTGGTTATGATAACAGTTGAGTTAGAGCCTTCGAGACCGGTTATGACATTTTAGTGATTTGATATAGGTCCATGCTGGAGATTTATTATTGATGTTTTATCTGTTTTGTTGTTACTTGTTGTACATCCTCCATGTCTACTTTATGTATTTTTATTATTATTTGACCACTAGTGTCAAGTCACCCCTCGTCACTACTTCTTCGAGGTTAGACTAGATAGTTACTGGGTACGCGTTGTTTTACATACTCATACTACACTTCTACACTGAATGTGCAGGTACTAAGACAGGTACTTCCAGTGGTCACACGGGCACGCAGCCGCACTTCCACGAAGACTTAGTGGTGGGCTGCCTGCCTTGCCTCGATCTGCTGGATCGGAGTTTCCCTATACCTTGTTTACTGTCTCTGTCTATTATACTTTAGACAGTAGTTGTATTAGTTTTGTATACTCTCTAGATTGTTCATGTACTTGTGGCACCGGATTTTGGGGGCTTCTAGCGTTTATGTACTGTTGTACTTATTATTACTATCGTCATGGTTTATGTATTACTCACACTTGATATTTTGAGAAAGAAACTTTTACGGTTGCATGAGGTCTTACTTATTTCGGTATTTTAAAGGAAACTTCTGTGTTTAAAGTTAAGATGGGATAATTAAATTGGAGGTTTACGTGTGGGCTTGTCTAAGGGCGGCATTAGGTGCCATCGCGACTTAATAAAGGTTTTGGGTCGTGACATAATTTATTGGACACTTGAACTTCTACTTTGAGAGGGATCTTGACATGGATTCCGTGAACTCTTTTTTTATTAATCCTAAGTTTGCCTTTGGCTACCTTAGATATGGATTCATGTAGACCTCGTAGCTTTTGTTAATCCTTAATTTGCCATCCTTTGAATAACTAAAATATTTCAATAAAAGTCTCGTGATATCACCTCTTTTAAACCTTTTCAACTATTACTTTAATCAATGAAAAAGAGATAATTATTTTAATAATTTTCACTATTACTAATATTACATATTACTAGTAACTTAAAGCTTTGTGTGAATATCATCATATAGAATGGGACGGAGGATCTCTCAGTTGCTATTTGCTACACTAAAAAGGACAGGAAATGAATTTCATCTTTCGCGTTTTAGCTGAAAGATGTTACACTTTAAGTTTTAATAATGACATATTTAGTAATAGTAATACTCATCTCATTCCAATATTAGCAGGAAAATAGATTAATGGAAGGGAAAGAAGAGATAAATGCGAAAGAAAAAAATATGCAAGTAATCTGTCCATATTCAAGAGATCAAGACAAGAGGAAGAGGTAATTGAAGTACAAATATCCGAGATCGTAGGAAAATCAAAGAAGCGCAATTTATTATATGAATCCAATCCACATCTATTAACTGGATTCAAAGGCATCCTTTGGGTCAATCTCTTAGAAAATTACTTGCGTCAATCAAAGAATTTCTCAATCTCGCTCACAATGAATGAAGATCTTGGTGACTGAAATAACTCAAGACATCAATCACTGCATATATGAAGAACTCGAAGAAGAAGAAGAGAACGGTGTGCAACTTCACATACAAACTTTCAACATCTTTCTAGTTCTTAGTTAAAACATTGTTGAGTTTACTAGTGTCACAAAAGATAGAAAGAAAAATAGAAAACAACCCAAGAGATTGTGTCAAAAGCTTGAAAAACATTCAAATGTACACCGTTGGTGGTAAATGATTGAAAACCACGACCATTGTAACAAATCATCTTTGAAAGTCTAAGAGAATCCTTGTGGCTCAAGGAAGCTGGATGTAGGTACCACACCAATACGCGAACCAGTATAAAACTCCGTCTCTCATTTATTCTGTCTTTGTTATTCTGCTCTAACCCAGTGTCCGTGGGAAAAAGAGTCAACTAATATCATAGTTGGTCAATTAATTTTTTAAGTTAGCACAATTCTAACCCTCCCCTCTTGTGTTTCAAAAGAAAGCAGCAATCTACCATACGATTTACCATAGGAGCATTCCCAAGTATGGCCTACAAATGAACAAAGGTTATATGGTAATCGATACTTGGACTGCCACAAAATCATTAGTTTAGTGCATTTGAAAATTTAACAAAATATCCCGGATGAATAGTTATTGTTACTTTAACAAGCCTTATAGCCCGTGTGGATAGGCTTATTTTAAGTGACTTTTAAGCATAAACCATAAATTAGAAATTCTAGCTTTTAGCTTTTGGCTTTTTTCTTAAAAACAAGTACTTAAAGGCACTTTTTTGCTTTATCCAAACTCTACAAAATGGCTTAAAAGCACTTAAAATAAGTCAATCTAAACATGCTCTTAGTCATATCCACCTAAAGAGTCAAGGGCCTATCGGAAACATCTCTACCTTCTCAAGATAGGGGCAAGATCTGCATTACATATTACCCTTCTCAGGCCACAAATGGGGATTACACTGGATTTGTTGTTGTTATCCACCTAAACATGAACAAAAATGCTTCTGCAGAACTTCTGTAAACAGAAAATTCCATTGTTTGTAAAATTAACCAAACATAATCTTTAGAAGCTTGTATTGAATTAGAGCAAGAGTCACTTGGATTTCCAGAATAACTAGTCCATTGAAGGCACCATACTGTACTGACATGTCATACTTTAAACTAGTGAGTATAGTATAAAGCATTTCCTCCCACTTTACATCCAAACTTCTGAAGAACTCGGTCAAGTCGAGGATTCCACAAAGGCAAAAGGGCAGATAGTATTACGAACCATCCATAGCAATGTCGCCACTATTTGGATTTTGGTTTGAATTCAAATGGCTCCCTGAGGCATTCCGCTGATTATGAGCAGCTCCAAAGGTGAATTCCTGTGGAGGAATGTTAAAGACAGGACGAGCAAAAATTGATGTAGCGCCAGAATTGTTGAAGGCTGGAACTTGAACTGAATCACTCGGCTTTGGGTAGTTAAAGCTGAAGGTTGGCACAGGAGAAGAGAAGACTGGCACGGCAGAGGCAAGCGGGTTCTCCAGCGAACCGAAGATCTTCTGCTCATACTCCTGTAGTTGTTGGTGAACCCCTGTATTACAAAAGGAAGAAAAAAGTTTACATTGACATTTAGAGCTCTGACATAACCTTTTTAATCTTAAATCAATTTAAAATAGCAGACAACCAAGTAATCTAATTGGATATGGGCGATCGGCAGTCCCAGAAACAAAATTTAACAGAAATTTCAACGACAAAGGAAGAACGGGTATTGACAGAGCTTGCAGTTCATGCACACTAAGTGTATTTGCCCTAAGCTTCTTCAAAAGCTACTGTGTAACTCAGCTTGCACTTAGAATGACCAGGCTCTATTTGGTCATAGTTAATAAATCCAGTGAGGAGCACTTTCACAGGCAGAATTCCAATTCAATTTAAAAGTAGCATTATCTCGCCCACCCCAACTTCCCCCTCCCCCACAAAAGAGGGGAAAAAAACGTATAAGTGGCATATGAAAACCTAGGACATTACCTTTAAACTAGATATATGCGAGCATTTCTAAGTAGAATAACTAGCTGGGTATCATAACTTTTCATATTAATAAAGGTAAAACAGAAAAATGCTTATAAGGGTATATTTAGACCTTGATTAAGTTCGACAGAAGGTCTCCGCTCTTTCACCCACTGATAGCTCTGCGCAAGTTTCCATCCTCGACTTTTCATCAGGTAAGCAATTACAATGGCAGGTGACCTGTCAAAAAAGCTTAACTTTAAGTTCTAATAATAACTACTGTAAATCAAAATGGTGGTCTGCACAAGAACAATCAATTGAAAATACTTTTGGAATAGTTTACTACATTTCTCATTCTCAATCAAGATATCTACGTTACAGCATCAGAATAATAAGACTACTAAGCAGAAGCTGAAACAAAATACAAGCTTTGACCTATACACCTTTATTTCACGGAAACCCGAGGGGAAAACAAAGAGAAAAGAGGAAAGGATGCAGCACAAAACCAAAATGAAAAAAACAGTAAACCACGAAATATTTATGCATGCAATATTAGACAAATCAAACTCCTTACTTGCTTTTCCCTGACATACAATGTACAAGAACACGAGCCCTATCCTTTTCACATTGTTCTGCAGAAGAAAAATACCATCAGCATCAGTTTAGCCAGCAGAATGTATCCCACAAAGCATACAAAGATTGCTCTAAAACAAAGTTGAAACTATAGCAGTCGAATTGCATGATATCTTATTTAGTACTAATATTTTCTACTCAACAGTTGTAGATTGTAGAGAAAGTTCAAGATAATATCTTCAAGTTATGCATATCCAACATATAACCAAAACATTTAAAAAAGGAAAAGCAGAGTGCAAACTTCTCTTGCAACTTTACTCGAGAAGTACAAAACAAGGACCTCTTGGAGACAAATCTATACACAAGAAGGCAGTAGACAGGTCAACATTCAACTGGAAAAAGCTACCACCTTAGATGCGTGAAAGAATGAAGTATTGGATTCTGTGAAGAGCTTGCAGCTGAAGTCGCGGTAGTTAAATCCACAAGAGAAGTTTAACAGATTAGATTTGTCCTTCGCAGAGAGGAATCAAGGACAGATAGAGGGTAGAAGTAAAGCACATAAAATAAAGCTCTCTATAAGCATGTCAACTAGGAGGAAAGATGCCTAGTCATATTGAAAGCAAGAAGCTAAAGCTTCAACATTTGAAACTAGGTGATTATCAGGAAAAGGAACAAGGGAAATAATGGAGCATATAGTAACTGAATAGGTTGATAAGCAATTAACTTGCAGGAGAGCAACTCCAATCAAAGAGTTATTTAAACTCATCTACAGATAAAAAAGCTGAAACATCATGGTTGAAGAGTTGTCTCGGTTAAAAAATCATCATGTGATCCTATGGTGAAGAATAGTTATTTTTTTATGAAGTAACAGTTTATTGGTGAAATGGGAAAAATCCCCCATACAAGTTGTATACAACAAAATAGAAATCTTAGAAAAAAATATTATTGTGTAAGTATCAATTAAACTCGAGATTTTCTTCCTCCGCCACGTTTGGCCAATATAAGTTTTCCAAAAAGACTATCTTCCTTGTTATGAATAAAACTAAGATTAAACCAAGTTTGCTTTCACAATCGCCACATACTTCTAATTATTATCAATTTTATCTTCTTTTTTAATAAGTTCTTTTTTTCCTTTTAAATTTTTGCCTATTTTTTCTCTTTATTATTACATTCCAAATTTTCTCAATAATTTTTTTTTTATCCCATGCTATTTTCAAACTTCAAATATTTTTAAATTTTTCAAATTTTTAGTTTGAATAAGATTAGCCTCTTTTTATATTACAGTTAGTATATAACGCGTGTTATATTAGGAATATAGCTATGACATAATATAGAGGTTTCATTGATAGGTATTAAAGAGTTTTTATTTATGGTTTTTGGGTTTTGAATTCTACAGAGCTCTTTTGATAAGCAACATTTGTACATTTAACGAAAATAGCCAGCATTAATTATGTGCTAGGTAAGAACTTTCCTTCAGGAGAAAAAGTCATTCAACCACCAAATACTTGTTAGGAAACTTAAAAAAGAGAATCTCAAAGATACTTCCAGAACTCTTTGAAAAGATGTTCAAAAGCCATTGTGTAGGGTGGTAGTAACTTTACATCTTTTCTATTGTTCCAAATTCTATAGTTTCTTGATATCCAACAAAACTAGTATTTAAAAAAGAAACAATCTGCAATACTATGTCAGAAAAAAACTCTCAAACCTGAAAGGTCAAAATACTGTCAAAAGAACCTTAGATGTATTTATATTACCAATTCTCAAAAAGTAAGCATAGATGTATTAAGTTCACAAATTGACAGTCACCTAAGAATTGGATGGCATTGTCAAACTGCAAACGTTCGTCATCTTGAAGGCAGTGATAAGTAAAGGAATTTTTATATAGATTTTGACAAGCAGGTACAGTCTGCACAAGGAAAAAGTAAACGTGAATGAGAACTTGGTTCCATAATATTAACAATAGAGGATCTATAGCGCATGCAAAGTTGTCTCATACATAACTTCTGAAGCACTAGAAAGAAAAAGGATCAGTTACTAGACACCATGCAAAGAAAACTGATAAAGAAAAGTAGATATTGAAAGAAAGCATATATTCTAGATTTGAAGAAGTGATACCAGTACCAGTAACCTTTGCCAAAATCAAATGTGTTGTACTCGTAAAGTCTAATCAGTGGTTAAGAAGAAAATGAAACTTTGTGAAAGAGCAACTTAGACATGGTTACTTCATCCCTCCCTCCCCCCACCCAACAGAATCTGTGCAATGATCTCCTCTTACAAATTGACGAGAAGATACAGAAAAGTTATTTCCTTTATTATCTTTTCTGAAATCAAGCACAAAAAATTATAAGAGTTACCGATTCAGGGTAAACAGATAGGCCATAAGAAAGGGCTTTGATCCATTGAGCAAATCCAAATTGGTTTACCCGAAGTTGTATTTTGGACTGCTTCTACCTCCCAGGCTCCCAGTCTTTCACAAGTACAACCTCTTATTGTCTTATTATTCTGTCTTTTTCATCTTATACAGTGTCATTTATGCATCTAGATATTTAGACCCCTCGCCCTTCCCTCAGGGGCTAGTTTGAAAGCATGACTTGGACTTGGCACCAGAAAATTTCTCATTAGGTGTTATTAACATAAATGTATCTTCTACTTCTGTCCATAATGTTGCAATATCAAATATGACCTCCCACTTCATAAACTTGAAGACCAACTGCAAATGAAAATTGAAATGGTATTGCAAGAGAAATTTCAGCATGTTTTAGTAAACTGCCTGAGTGCCTGAAATAGTTCAGTTCGCTTCAGATGGTAAAATCTTCTCAAGATTAAACTGCATCAATAAAACAATTGCAGAGAAACAGTCCCGTGTACTTGAAAAGAGCAGGAAAGTGAACAAGCTACATAGAACTGTTTGCCACTGTCTTACCCTCTAAATCGAGTTATTCTCCAGTAAAAGTTTAAAAGACCTAAAGTCCAGCTTAATTGTAAAGATGACAAACAAACCTCATTAGGTTCTTTCTATTATTGTGTGTAATTATTCCACAGCTCATATTTAAAGGATCCAAGAATGTTCCTTTAAATAACTATAAACATAACGACCCCCTGGTGTTATTTCATGATAATCCATCAAGATCCTGATCAATAATGGAAAGGCATAAATAAAAACAAACAGACAACAGTCGGCGAGCACTCAAGCTACATATGAATAAGATTCTCTTCTTTTCTCTTTCCTTCGTCGTAACTAACATCTTATTCAGGATCTCCTGCATAACCTAATGGCAGATATACAATTAAAGGTGCTATGAAAAACGGCAAGCTAACATTTCTATTCTTCTGGACAACAGACTAATTTATTAGACAGTGAAAAAGCGTCCAAGAGAGAAATCAGCCCATATAAAAATCAAGTATAGTTGGGGATCTATAATTATGTCCACAAAACCTCAAGAAGGACCCCAAATCAAATTGACATTCAGCCTAATCCAGCCCCACCCCGTGCTTTGTACTACACTTGCTGCAATTCTTCCCCTCCCTCTAACTACCATAAATTACATTAATTCCATTCTCTTTAGCTCTCTTGTTAGTCCCACTTCTTTCTTCATATGCACGAACTTTCCTGCTCACTCCAAAAATTACTCAAGGCTTCAGATTCTGTAAATAACTTCTACTGTCGTAGGTATGTAATCCATTGAGCTATAATCTTTTGACTTCCTACAAAAAATACATCTCGAAATGATAGCAGCACAGCATGCTTTTCCACCAGTACGGCACACATCACAATTAAAGTTTCTCGCATACATCATCATACATGAACCAGAAAATATCATATCCAAAGTGCAGCATTTGTTTCCTCAAAACTTCCACATCTAATATGGACTCCCACCAAAGTTGGTTTAGTACTTAAAATTGTAGATTTAGAAAGATATTAACTACAAGAGAATGTACTACAGAACTTCACCAGAAAAGAAAATGTATTACAATTACTATTGACCAAAACGGCAAGTAAAGAGCCCAAAAGGAAACCCATGGAGTTCAAAACTAAATACAACAATGTCAACAAACCCTCACTAGGCTTATTAAATAAAAAGAGATAATGTCCATGTTTCTTCTGTCTCAAAAGGGAAAGTCGAATTCCAAATCTTCTGAGATCCAAGCATATGAATTTGACACATCATTAGCTGTTTGAGAGTCATAGTCTCATATTTGCTTCATTCTCTTACTAGACTAGTGGCAAACACGGATGCAAACATTCTAATATGACAACAGAGACATACTGTATAGCTTCTTTTCCTGAGGCAAGCTTGCTTTTAAATTGTAATATGTGCTCGACTAACTAAATAAGTTTGTGGTGAACTCGCACAATTTCAGTATTATTTTCAATGGGTTATGTTAACCTCAATCTCAATCATTGAAGAGTTATGACATAGGTTAGGGACAAAGGCATTTTTGTCCAACTAAGTACCATTAAATACTTTTGATGTACCGGCCCACTTTGTATGTCATGAAAAAATACCAAGAGAAAAACATACTCTGATTAAGAAACCATTACTTACAGATAAGTCACTCAAACTATACTAGAAATCCCATATCAACAAGATGTTTTCTTTCCCTTGAAGTGATTGACCTTGACTAATCTAAATATTGGTGATTGCTATATCAAAAAGAGGTATCATATGTATTCAGCGTCCAAGAAATTTGGGTACACTGTCAACTTACCCTCCGTCCACACAGAGTAAGTCCCTGCCAAGTTGCATGACGGAGCCAGGAGTACAAGAAGATTTTAAAAAATATCACACCTGGGATTTGAACCTATGATCTCTAACGCTATTTTTGAACCCAATTTGTCTAAAAAGGCAGCCCACTGCACTAAACTCCCGCTATGCGCGGGATCCGGGGTATGGCCGGACCACAATAGTCTATTGTACGCGGCCTTACCCTACATTTTTGCAAGAGGCTGTTTGCGCGGCTTGAACCAGAGGTCATGTGGCAACAACTTTACCAATTACGCCAAGGCTCCCCTTCATAACCTTGTCTATTTACTAAAATTTTCTCTCATGTCAAGGGATTCAACAACCTATATATAACCAAAAAAATTAGTCTTGACTCTTGTTGCACAACATAATTTTTCAATGAAGGGGATTCAATTGAAATCCTTTCTCCAAGCTAGCCCCCTCTACTCACTTGCATAGATTTTAGTTCTTCAAAGAGACAATGCAATAGATAACTAGTATATCTCCAAACCCCTCAAACACGAGAACAGAACAAGGTCAAAATCATTGCAACTTTAGCTTCAAAGAATGCAATTTTTCAGCTCTACTTAACACAATTCAATGAACACACCAATAAAGAATAAATAAAGCAGACTAGTAACAAATACTAACATTGAGAATACGAGAAATCCCTTGAGTCTTAAGAAGCTCGGCTCTAGAAGCATTGTCATAGCTGCCCAAGTAAAGAAACTCCGGCAAGATCTCTGAAGGGAAAGCACTCACTTGAATTGAAGAACCCTTATCAGTTACAACTGCCATTCTATGACCACAAATCCCGCAAGGCTCGCCTTCCTCGTATTTGTGATAATGCCCACAAACACCACATGGGTTTTCCCTCTCTCTTTTCCTCATCATAAAATTGCTTTTCGTAAATTACTAACTGTTAGAACTATTAAGAAAACGAGAACGAAACCAGAAGAGGAAAAAACCGAGAAACTTTGCCTAGATTTGATTCCGATTTGTTGTTACTATAAATAAAGGGAAATTATAGAAAGAAGATCTCCAAATCCAGGTGGTATACGGAAAGTTTATCAAAGGAATTTAGGCTAAATTTACCTGTGCTAATAATTTTGGTCGGATTCTTGAGATTTTTGATGGAGTACAAGGTTGTATAACAGTTAGCCTAGGGCAATGGGGATAAAGTCAGTAATACACATTATTTTTGATAATTTAGTCAAATTAGAGTTCTTCCCTTTTCCTATATTTTTCAGTTCTTTATGGAAATTTATTAAGATAACGACAAAAAAAAATAGTACTACCAAATACCAATATTATGAATTATTGCAATTTTTTCTACATGATTATTATTCAGGCTAGCATAAATACAGTAAAATACTTCTGTAATATAATTCAATCGAGGATCCACCTCATATTCTTTTTTTAAAAATCAGACCCTTAGTCTATGATTGAGAAACCTACATAAAATTTAATTTGGATAGAATTAGGGTAGAAAATTAGTAGGTAATCGAACGTATTCCTTTTTTATACCAGTAGCATTTGTATTATTTTTGTATTTTCTTATTCTTAAATTTCTATTACTGCATGTTGTTTCTTTCCTTTCAGTTATCTTATTATTGCTATTGCATGTTGTTGCTGCTTATTTTTCTTCTTTTTTTGAACCGAGGGTCTATCGAGAAAAGTTTTTCTATCTTCACAACGTGGGGTCAAGGTATACGTACACACTACTCTCCTCATATCCCACTTTGTAAGAATATACTAAGGTCGTCTTCTTCTTCTTCTTCTTTTTTTGTTGGATTTTGATTACATAGGAAAGTTAAGTGTCTAGATTTAATCACACGGATATTTGTATAGTAGCTAAGTATATGAAAATTTTCCAATTATCAATATGGATTAACTCCTAGCTTGTTTAACCGCAAAACAGAATAATTAAATTTGTTACGTGGTTTATCAACAAGCGAACTGATTTGATCCAAAAATGATAAAGAAATAAGATAAAAATAGAACTTAGCAATATAAATTGAAGAAGATGACAAGCCTGGCTCCGAGCGCAATATCTTCGAGGATAGGAATAAAAGCAATGACAAAGAGTAAATAAAGTTGTTTAATTGAAAGCGAAGTAAAAATATAGCATATGTTTCTCCAAGAATTTTGTGTGTTACAATGGTTGCTGACCTTGCTGTTTAAGCTATTCCTAGGGAAATAAGATCCCAAGATCAAGCCCCACTTAAATGATAATAAAAGAGTATTTGATAAATATGTAAGGTAGACCATATGAATGCAGGTATTCTTTGTATCGGTTGCTCATTAATGTTAGAGAATATTCTCTCATTGAATGTTATCTGATGGCAAATATTCAATCTGTTCTTGTTGATCATGCCCCCTTCGAGATTTAACCGATGTCAATTGTAATTATTGTTCCCGATACTAGCTATTATTTGACTTACTTTTTATCTGTCTTTGATTCCACATCTCATGCTATCACTCAACCATTTATTATAAACCAATTTTACCCCATGCATAACTTATTCGAAAGGTTTTTGCATGCGAAAGAGCAAAAAGTTCCTAAATATTTGGCCTAGGGGTGTTCATAAAAACTCAAAAAATCGAACCAAACCGAAAACCAAACCAAACTGACCAAAAAAAACGATACTTTTTGGTTTGGTTTGGTTTTGAGTTTGAATTTTAAAAACCCATCAAATTTGGTTTGATTTTGGTTTTAATCAGAAAAAAATCGAACCAAACCGACTATAGGAGTAGCTATTTCAAATTTATTATTTCACCTATATATATGTATATTTTTATATACGGAAAAGGGCCTAAAATGCCCCTCTACTATATGAAATAGGACATCAAAGCCCTCCGTTAAAAGTTGGCCCCTTATCTGCCCTTGCCGTCTAAAAATGAGCTCAAAAATGCCCTTCTCCACTAACGGGAGACATGTAAATCCACGTGGAATTACATTTGCCTATTTAAAAATTCCAATCCTAATTAAAAATGCCACATGGATTTAAAAACACCTCAACCCCTTATTATTTCCCTACTCCCTACCCCCGGGCCCACCCCTAATCTTAACTTAATATAGCCGTTAGGTTAATTCCAATTACCAGACCATTTCCTTCCCCATTTTCATCCCAAAAGCTTCTCCCTCAAAAAAATTGACCTTCATTGATGTCTGATTTTTCCTACTAATTGGTTCACCTTGTCGATTTCGAGTTGGGTTCTAGTTTAGGTTGAATTCTTTTTCATCTTTATCAGTTTGTTTTGGAGATTTCTCTAAGACAATGTCGCAAAGTTCGAGTAGCTTAAATGGGTCGATTAGGAGGTGTCGTTGTGGACTTGCTGCTAATTATTTCATGGCGTGGACTCCTTTAAATGCTGGGAGAAGATTTTTCAAGTGCCCTAAGCATGAGGTATGTAAATTAGTTGATGGGTTCTTTTAATTATTTCGATTTGACTGTAATTTCTTTTTTTTTTTTGGTTTTAGGATGAAAAATGTTCCTATTGGGAATGGCAAGATGAGGAGCTTTCTCCTAGAATTTCAAATCTCATATGCAGTTTAAAGAAGGAAAAGGAAGCTCTAATCCGTGAAAGAAATGTACTCCAAAGGAAAGTTGCCGATCTTGAGAATGTTATGATGCTCGTCGATCATGGAGGAATAGAATCCTTGGAATTGGAAAGAAATGTTCTATTGAAGAAACTGGTTGATTTAGAGTACTCTGCTCTGCGTGATACTAAATTTCGGAAGAAGATGTGGATTTTCTTTTGTGTGATAGTGGAATGTTTTGTTATGTTCTTTGGATTAGGGGGAAATGATATGTAATGTTAGTGTTATTGTGGCTTAATTGTTGTGTTTTATTATGTAATGAAATTTTATGTTTTTGTGCAAGGATTCAATGAAGCCATTCCCATTCATTTGAATGTTTCTGTCTATGATTGAGTTACTTGCTGTGATAATTAGTGCTTGAGAATTGACTACTATAACTGACTTGTATANGCTCCAACTCAATCAAATGTATGAAATAACGACTTTATAATATCAATAATAGCTAAACAAATCAAACCCAATGCCTAAATATAGATTCCCAACCTTTCTTCCAAAAATTCCAAAATCGACCCCGGGCACGCTTGGTCAAAACCCGAGGTTCGGACCAAATTCGTATCCCCCATGCCCCCACGAGCCCGAATATACAATTTGTTTTCAAATTCGACCCCCAAACGAGGTCTAAATCAAAGAAGATTGAAAAGCCCTAACTCTACCCATTTTCCCCCCAATTTCAACCCTAGATTACATGATTTGAGCCTAAGAATTTGATAAATGATGAAGGAAAATGAAGGAAACAAGTTAAATAATACTTACCCAAGAATATTTGGTGAAGAAGAGCTCTAGAAATCGCCTATGGGCTGTGGAGAAGATGAGTTCGTTGTTTTTGGGTGAAAAATCCCGTCACTGTTCTATTTTGGGTATTTAAAATCAATGGGCAAAATTGCCCTTCGCGTTCGCGGAAAAGGGATCGCGTTCGCGAAGGGTAAATGGGATAAGCATCGCGAATGCGGGGAGTCTAATCGCGAACGCGTAGAAGAGGAGGGCTGGGTTCCAGGAACTTACTCTACGCGAATGCGTGGGTAGGTACGCGAACGCGATGAAGGATGGGCCAAGACTATGCGAACGCGGGGACTGTTCCGCGAACGCGAAGAAGGGGGAGCCCAAGGGTACGCGAACGCGAGCTGAAGGCCGCAAACGCGAAGAAGCAAAGTACTGTTCACCTGCTGCAACATTTCTGCATGTTTCAAAGTTTCAAAACCATCCCAAACACCTCCGAAAACACTCCTGAGCCCTCGGGGCTCCTAACCAATCGCACACACTAACTCAACAACATCCTACGAACTTAACCGTGTGATCAAATCGCCAGAATAACATCAAAAACGAGGAATCAAACCTCAAAATCATCACTTTTCATCAAACTTCATAAACTTTCATTTTTAGATATTTAGGTTCGAAACACGTCAAATGACGTCCGATTTCAACCAAATTTCACAAAAATCGCTTAAACCACATATAAGACATGTACCGGGCGCCGGAACCAAAATACGGGCCCGATACCAACACGTTCTAATCAATTTCCTTTTCAAATTTCCATATTAATTTCTGAAAAACAATTTCACAGAAAAATTCATTTCTCGGGCTCTCGACCTCGGAATTCGACTCCGGGCATATGCCCGAGTCTCATATTTTTCTATGGACCCTCCGGGACCGTCCAATCACGGGTCCTGGTCCGTTTACCCAAAATGTTGACCAAAGTTAACTTTATTCATATTAATATCAAAATTCATCAATTTTTACACAGAATTTATATTTAAGCTTTCTGGCTACGCGTTCGGACTGTGCACGCAAATCGAGGCAAGCCTAAATGAGATTTTCAAGGCCTCGGAGAAATAGAATGAGTGAGAAAACAGGTGATGACCCCTTTGGGTCGTCACACTTCCCCTTCCAGGTTGTCTTGGTTGGGGAATATGGCAAGTTTGTTGGTGTGCAAACTCCATTATCATCACCCATGAAAGGAATCCTCCTGTTTCCAGTTGGTGGAAACCTTTGAGACTTCCTCACCTTCAACTTTGTTAGTTCCTCAGAAAGAATCTTGGGTCTTAATGGTGGATCTTCTTCATCACCAATGGAAGGTCCATATGCAGTGGACTGTTGTGTCCCATAACAAGTGGACTGTTGTGTTTTATCTTCATTGTAGAACATTGATTGTACTGTTTGTTGTGTTCCAGCATCAACAACCTTTTCTTCAAGTATTTCATCTTGAAATGTATCATCTTCAGACAATTCATCTTCTTCAGATACTTCATCTTCAAGCACTGAACACTATGATGATTGGCTTTTGTTTGAAGCCTTTCTCTTTTTGGTTTTGGAGACAACCTTATCCTGCAAAACACAAAATTAGTTACTTAATTATAGTAAATAGAAATTTAAGAAGAAATGAATCTATGTTACCTTTGGACAACCCCTACAATTATGGTTAATTTCACCACAGTTGCTGCACTCCATGACTCTTCCTTTTCTTGATAAACTCCACAAACCTTTTCTATTGTTTGCCTCATCAGGTTCTCTATTTCTTTTCACCTTGGGTCGACCAACTGTTTTGACAATCTCTGGGGGCTCCATAGCTTGAGCAGGATCAACTTTCCAGAATTTAAGACCCCTAACAGGCTGTAACTTATGCTT